CAATTTTCGAGGGTTGTAAACCTTCTTCGACCTGCATGTTTCATCACCAATCCATGTCACGATGTCTTCCTTCATCGAAACTTTCAAATTAAATTTCGCACATAAATTCCGAGAAACTCAGAGGTGCGAGCACAGATTCGAACCCGCGGCTTCTAAATGATAGGTGGTAGATCAAACCATTACGTTACCATGGCTAGCACGTCTTTCCAATACTGTTAAAAGTTAATAATAAAATAACGCACATACTCATGACCCTGCTCTAAGGAAACCCCGTGTCGCGGGTGCCATGGACATACACATATGTAGACAACCACAAATTGCAACAAAACTCACAGGAGAAATAAATGTAGGCCGTACGAATATTTCTTCCGGTCCGGGATTCGAACCCGGTACCTCTGCGTGGCAGTCCAGCATGGTAACCGTCCGGCCACGGAGGCAGTTAATTAATACATGCTGAAGGTAATTTATTAATATACACGTATATCTATGAGTCCACATAATAAATTATTACAGGAAAATCTTCCAGCTGTAAATGTAAAAATATTTAATAAAACAAATGAAAAAGTCTATATTAAAACTTAACGTCGTAGAAGTATGTTACCTTAGAATTTACACGACTGTCATATAAGTAACCTATGATATATTATGATACAGTGACACGTACTTAGCAATCCTTATAACAACTTCAAATATCAAGGCTAATAAGAACCTGGCACAAAATGTCGGCGGTGTACTCAGAATTAATTCCGGTGAAATTAGTTCTGAGCGAATGAGTAGACGTCAAGATGATGGCACGCCATCTGCTGGTGTCGGGTAATCCAAGGGTGGCCGGGGACGCGAACATTTTGGTACTCGCGAGTAATTTCCTTGTCTATGATGTTACAAAGTTTTCAATATCGAGAAACCTCCAGTGTTTACCTACATTGTTCGAGATAATCCATTCGTTTTGTTATATTAGATAGTGGAAGTTACATGTAAGCAGTCAAACTGAAATTCTATAAATTTTATATATATGTACTACTAGCTGGTGCCCGCGACGCGTAGTCTTCGTAGAATAAGTACTTTGATAATATCTGCTATACTATACTAATTTTCATAGATTTATTGATTATCCATATAAATTTTCATCCCCTATTTTACCCTCCTTAAGATTTACTTTTGTGACAAAAAGCATCCATTCATTCGTCTCATAAGTCCCATCTATCTCTATACCAATATTCATCAAAATCGTTCAGCAGTTTAGGCGTGAAATGTAACAGACATAAAACCAACGGCAGCTCGAGCCGTATCGTTTGTACATCATTTGTGTAAAAAAATAGTGAATACTGTTAGTTGTGGAGGCGCTCGGACAAGAAATACGTGAAGATGAAGTAGAGAGACGACGTCAAAGGAATCGCAGTTTCTTGGTATCGCTTACTGATGGCAAAGTTGTAAGCGATTACCGGCTCGCTGCGAGAATTTTGTATAATCTTTTTGAAGATGTAACACGCATGGTGTTCAAAAATATTCTAGGTTTATTGACCCACCACCACCAAGAAAGATAGACAAAGTTACTTTCGCATTTATAATATTAGTATTATATAAATATACGATATGTACAACATGTCCTTTGCAGATAGCTTGTATCAATGATAACGTTGCTTTGTTTCGCCATTATTGACAAACAAACAGAAACATTATTTTTCTTAATATATAATCGGTAGATTTCTCTATAAGTGGCACGTCTGTTTGCTACTAACAATTTCCACGTAAAGGATAAATTTGTTGAGGAAATATAATGTAGAGCAAGAAAGTCCCTACTCCATATAGAGCTAATGAGCATTAAAAGCAGAATAATTCCATAATGGCTTATTTGGCACACTGTTTTAGACAGAATTAAAAGTAATTACATTTTCATTTGGCTGGAACTAGGGGACGGGTGGAGCTAGACATTAGTGGTCTTGTGTGCTTGAAGCTTTAAGTGGGTATATATTGTAGTACATTTTTATAAGAATGAAATTTTATATTATTAAATACTGTGAAGATCAGTATTTACATCTTGCGCTTTCAGAAACCGACCGCAATCGCGTAATTTTCAGATTAGTTTTTTCTGCCTAATTTCGGTGACTATTTTTATAGTTTAAATATTGTAGAATATTATCATGAAGTATTATTTAATGTTTCACGAAAATATACTTCAACACGTATATAATAAAAACTGCCACCTAAATTAGGTACAGAAAACTAGCCTGAAAAATGACCCAATTGCAAGTCTATGCTACAGATTCAAACAACGTTTGTTATTCTTATTCGTTATTGACACAGGCTTTGCTTATAAATAATATCAGCGGTAATCAGTTTTGTATTTGTATTGCAAAACAATTCAAATCGTAAATTGAGAAATTCGTTATTCGATTCGTTCGATTCCGTCGAAATTGTCAAATCCCACAAAATATTGCTCCAAGAGAACACAGTTCCATTGTATAAAACATGGAGTCAGCATTTTATTTTCAATTTAGAGTAACATCGCCTCGGCTCATTTGCTATACAAGGGGTCTTTATAAAGCAAAAGGGTATTCAAATTTTAGACACTTCAGCAGCTGCAAAAAGCAGCTACAGGCGCTGTTTGTCGAAGCCAAGAAAATAATGAAGCGCATTCCGGCGTCCTCACTTAATGAGTTGTCAAACGTCTGAAGACCCCTTTACGACTTTAAAGCCAGTGCAATTTGAGTCGCACTGAAATTTAATTATATTGTCATGCAAATTAAACATGGCAGCAGATACCTTGATGAAAAAGTAATCTAAGATTCTGTTTAATCCAGTTGAATTGATTAACTAATGCTAGCGCCATGCTTGTTATGATTCTATCTTTTTAAGTTATCTGTATAAGGTTTAAGTGCTTATAAATCGTAAGAAAATTTAGGTATTAGGGAATGTTTGAGTATCATTATTGAAACCTAGAATTTCGTGACTACTACTAGTTACTAAATATCTTGTTAGCTAAAAGATTCAATACCATAAATAAAAGTGTATTGTATAGAAAATTACTCTATGAAATGAAAATTTGCAACCGGACGCTGCGTAATAAATTTCATGCTCTCATAATTCTGTAGCATGATTTACGGTATGATTCCCGGCGACACAAGCCGGTTTTTGTTCATTGTGCCAATTAAACGTTTCTTTTAAAATATGTTTTACAAGTTCCGCAATCAAGTTGTGACGAAATGCCGGCAGTCATCAAAGGGAACGAGTTCAAAAATAAGTTTGAAAACAGCTCGCAAATGAACCACAAAGAATAGTTTCAAAGGAATATTTCGCTTTTATCCCTGGTATTTCCGATATTTTCTATCGCTCCGCTTAAAGTTTAATGGTTTGTGCGGCAGATCGATTGCAGCATCAATACATTTTTATTTCAACAGAAAATTTTCAGTTCGTTTACTCTCAACTATGGTTGAAGCATAAAAAGAACGAAAACAAGATCTGAATATCGGTGAAACTTTGAATCGCGTAACTGCTGTTACTCTATACTGCTTTACGCATCACTGATGTGCAATCGATTGGGAAAAACAGACTTTGATAAAAGCTTTTTAATAAACACTGGGGCCTAAAAAGGCCACATTGACTCACAATTAATATTATAGAGATCTCCGTAGAACACTGTGAAATAGACGAATTTTTAAGGAATTTAGTTTGACGATTAACAAAAATAAGACCAAAGTATTAGTAACTGCAAAACATCCTTTCAAAATTACACCCATCAAAATAAATGACATTCCAGTAGAGAAGGTAATACATTTCAAATATTTTGGAAGTATTATCACAGAAGATTCCAAATGTACCACTGACATAAAGACTAGAATCGCAATAGCAAAACAGGCTTTCCATAATAAAAAAACAAATTTTCACCTCTAAAATACCTATACAATTGAAAAAAGGATTCATCAAAACCTATGTCTGGAGCACCGCACTGCATGGATGCGAGACATGGACAATAACATTAAAAGACAGAGAGAGATTGGAATAATTTGAATGGTGCTGGAGGAGAATGGAAAAAATAAAATGAATTGAAAAGATATCAAATAAGAAAGTTTTGGAAAGGGTCGGAGAGGAGAGAAGTCTTTTAAATGCAATAGAGAGGAGAAGGGGGAAAATGTTTGGACATTTGTAATGACGAATTTGTGACAGTGATAATTGAGGGGAGGATAGAAGGGAAAAGAAAAAGAGGAAGACCGAGAATGGCGTATAGTGAACAAATAAAAAAGAAGATCAAAGTGAACAGCTATAAACAGGTCAAAGAACTGGCTATGAACCGTGAGGACTGGAGAAGGCTACTCCGACAAGAGTCTAGCTCTTAAATAAGATGATGATGACTCTGCCAATGCGGCCTTCTTAGCCCTGCTGTTTGATTACAATGGTTGAGTTTAACATTGCACTGCTTATCAATGGGTTTTTCAGTTTTTTTCTATGATACCAACAATTGTGACGGAACGAACAATTCGTGCGCCTGGTGGTATGCGACATGCCTGTCCATAACAGTTGCTGTGACAGAATTGTGTGTCAGAGCTTTAATCACAAAGGTATGAGGGGCACTGCCACTGCACCCTGAGACACAAGTTGACAAGATCCATGTACCTATAGTTTCACTAGCACACATTATTGCTTGGCGGCAAAAATACGTAAGGTGGCAGTACTTCCCTGGACGAACTATTCCACAAGGAACTCTACTGCTACTAAAAGTTTTCAATTTCAAGAAGGTCAAACAGAATATTTACTTCAGGACAAAACCCTTCTTAATTTATTCCTTTGAATTCGGAGGGAATTCGTAATAAAGTTTTCACAAGAAAAATTACTAATTTTCCACTGGATTCGAAATTTCGTTTCACGAATAATGCTTCAAACCGGAAACTTTGTTTCATAAATACTTGAAAACATTCCGCTCAACGTACCTGAAATGGTCGTAGTGATATTGATATTAAAATTATATAATTTGTAATAAAAGACGAAACATTTATTAATATTTGACGTAATGATAGATAACAATGGGCTGTCATTAACAACGATTGATGCACATTCATCAATCAAGGGCTTTTATATCGGTGAGGTGCTCAATATTCACCGATCTTCATTTAAATATATAAGGAGAATATGAATTGTGGTATTTAATTCACGTCGACCTTTTCTGTAAAATTTTCTACTCCCTTATTCGTGTTGCTCTTCGGTCTCTTTGTGGAGTTGTTCATTGTGGAGTAAAATAAGACTTTCGCTGTTTGAAGGTGTGTCCAGCATGGGCAAGTTTTCTACTTCACCTGAAAGATATTTTGTTGCCATGTAATTCATATTTCTATAGAGCTAATTTAATATTCTTAGCGATTATGTAACTTTAAAAAGAGACTTGGCTGTATAAAAAACATCAAAAGACGTTTATGTCACGCAAGCTCTTTCGAGTGCTGTGTTGTATTAGGGATATATTCAGAAAATTGAAGAAATTAGTAAGAAATTTGAAATTGAAAAAAACAAATATAATTCATGATTTTCAGGTTAAAATTATCCCAAAATGAATTTTAATAAATTATGAAAGGAACCATGCAGCGGCATCAAATGTTAAATTACGGATTCTAACTAAAATGAATGTCTATTGATCACAATCAAAACGCTAAAGGTACTAGATATTCATGTTTGTATTATGTACCTATATCCTGTACAGAAATGAATATGACAATAAAAGGTGATAATGACAACCGATCACTTAATGCACATAGTTTAATATCTGACAGATGATTGGTCATCGTCAATCAATCATTTGTCAGGGATTATCAACATGCTTTTACGGAATTCGTGAGCTCGTTGAGGTTTTGTACAATTTGCTTCAAAAATTAAGCTTCAAATTGGATGCTTATAGGAGCGCTGCACTTGCGCCCCTGTGGCGCTGCTACTAATTTTCATACAACATTTAGAAGTACAACTGTACTTCTACTATTGTAATTACAACTAGTGATTTAAAAAATTGTGAAATGTTATAGACTCGCGGGTGTCCTCGCCACAGTCCTGCCCATGGATGAAAAAAAAACGAAGGAAATGCCTTAAGCCTCGATTGCTATGAGAACCGATGTCGCTAAAACTCACTCATTCTTAATTTTAAGTTCTATAAAATCTTGATATTGGTTGGTGGTAGTTTCAAATTTGAAAAAAAAAAACAAATTCTGGATTGTTAATATAATTTAAACTTTACCCTGTTGGCATACCGTTGAAACTTCAATACCATCAGTACCTGTTATTGCAAGTTAAACGACGTTTTGATATATTATTTAAATTTCAATCAATGTACTGGCCAGCTAGCGGTTAATTGCTGAACGAACGTCGAATTGGAGTTATTAATTTAGTTCTCTAAAAAAGAAGCGACCATAAGGGTATAAGCAATACTTTCGTTTTTTGTAACAAAAAAAATATTTCGATAAACTAAACATTGAAAATTTATGAAAATAAGTCTTTCCGATGATAAGAAATACCACCACGGGCAATATTTTTGGTGCGGCTATCATTCTTGTGCTTCATAATAGCACAATAAGGCATTTTTCTAGGACTTTAGAGAATTTGCATGAGAGAATGCAAACAATACCATGCAAAGCGAAAATGGTTCAGATAGATCATTAGAGATAGGTCTCTTAGTTATCATGCGTCTGACGCTAACTAATCACTTCTACTGTATATATTGTTTTGTGGTCATGCCACTGCAGCTCTTCTACAAGCCTCTGATTTGAACACTAGCCCTGTCCCAGAAGGGCTTGTAGCTGTAGCCATGGGCAGGTGAATATTGATCTCAAATTAAAGGCCTTTGACTAAGGCCTATACCTTACACGCGGATGAATACTTGATACGTGTTTGTATTATAAGCCTTAAGCGACTAGTGGCCTTAAAAGGAAATTAGATCTAAAAATGAACAACCACATTTCAAAATACAAGGTTTATTGATGGCACATTTTAGACTAATTTTATTCATCAAATTATTTGTCGTTTCAACACCAAATGCCTACGTTCAAAATCTAGTATTCTAAAATTAGGTATGTATTTGTGTCAAATTTTTATCGTTTTTTCTCCTCTTTTGTTAACTGTGGGAGACTTGCGCGTTTGTTAGTATTGCCTTTCGGGTACATTAAGACGTAAATGCCATCATATGCAGCGCTCTTTGTCTTTCCCCATAGATCTCTGCCTCTAATGGTCACCGTTTTTGGTCTTTTAACCACAGCTGGCAAATCCGGTACTCCAATGTCTTCAGGCTGAGTTTCTTCAGCTACGACTTTTGAACCGCCGGCTTTTGGTAATTCAGCTGGAGGCGGGTCGCAAATACCTATAAGCATCTTTTAAGTTTTGTCTGCCATTCAAATTTAACTTATAAGTATGTTTATGACATTTTCCTATATCTGGGTTTACAATGAAACGTATTATATGAATATGAAAATGGACGATAAAGAAATTAATAGATTAAGAAAATACGAGGGGTGTGAACATAATATTTAAAAATTTTAATACTCACCAATTCTAACAGTAAAATTTGCGGACTCGGTCTCATCCAACATGGAGAAAACATTTTCAACGGGAATGTAAACATTTTGAGTGTGTTCGAGGAAATCTGCATCCTTCTCGCACTTACATGGGCGCCTGTAAATGAAGAAAATTAATAAGTTCGTAAATGCAAAATACTTCGTGTGAAATAACTACTAGCAGTAGAATTCCTTGTGAAAAAATTCACCCACCTTACCTATATCTGCCACCAAGCAGTCATGTGAGCATTACTGCGTTCCAGTTTGGAAGAGTAAGTGTCAAATTACAGGCACATTGGACTTATGACTCAGAGTGTAGGGTGCAGTGACAGTGCCCCTCAGATCTTTGCAATTTAAAGCTCTGAGTGGCACTGCAACTGCCATGAACAGGTGTGTCGCTTACCACCAGGCGCACCACTTGTCCGTCTCGTCACTTGGTATCATAATAATAAAATAAAACAAAATAATTTCTTGCAAAATAATGATGTTCAAATTATAACATACAAGTTTCACTTTGCAAGAATGGGTCATAGTAGTGTTACACGTCATAACATAATTGTGTTATCACTTGTATTTTTCGAGGGACTTTAATTACTTTTAATGAGGTGTAATTTTTGACTTGTATTACAAGAAACCAGTAACATAACTGTGGATGATTTCTATGCTATCATGCGTAAAATGTTCACATCAATAGTACGAAGAGTGAGAGGTAGCAGCAACGAGATCCTGAAGATGATAGCGGACAGGATGGATACAGCACTGTTCCGGAGGTTCACTGAGTTACATGTTGTACGTGTGAATCAGTGAGCTGCCTAGGGGTTGGATTCATCCTGTTTGATGTACTTATAATAATATGTAATTTGTCAGCCTGCAAAGTGACTGTATCGTACTAATACGAACATAGTTATAAGGTGTGTTATGTTACTAACTTGTATGGACTATATTGTCTGAAAAAAAAAGATTTTTATTTTTATTCGTTTATAAACACAAATGGACGATTTAGTTATGTTTGAATGATCATGTCTGTTTCGCACTTGTTTGATCGTTTTATTTACTGAGCAAACACTTGCCTGTACACAATCCTTTTGCTCGGCAAATTGGGTAGGAAAATATCAACCTCGAAGTAGAACTTCTCCGCGTGTTCATCGTTTACTAGTACAGTCCACATCATTCTTCCTGAAAGTAAAAATAGCTTTTTTATTTCACACCCTTGATGCATTAAGGCCACACCTTCCAAATGGCAATTTTCAGGAGAAAGGATTAAAAATTCTTCGTTCGTCTTAAGAAGTACTGCCACATAACTCTCTCTCTCTTCTGCTACCAAGCAGTAATGTCAGCATTGTATTCCGGTTTTGAAGGGTAAGGGTTCTGGTGAAATTACAGGCACATGAAACTTCTCAACTTATGTCACAGGGTGATGGGCGCAGTGGCAGTACCACTCAGGTTTTTGCGACTGGCACTGTAACTGTTATGGATAGGCATGTCGCTTACCACGAGGCGCACGACTTGTTTGTCCCGTCATTTGGTATCATAAACAAAAAGTGATAAAAGTATATGACATGTGATTATGTGTAGCTCTCCCAAGGGTAGGATTTATACTCTTTGTGATGTTTTTCACCCGTCATGACTGTTTCATATATAAAAAATTTCTACACCATGTTAAAGACGCAGAGCCGTATTTTCAAGTTAAACTACCAACGTTTAACCTCAACACAAAGTGCAATTCTGATAAGAAAAACCACAACGTATTGTGAATTCCAGTCAGCCACACTTCGCTTCCATTTTCCATTCGGTTTCTTATTGGAGGTATTTGACAAGTGGTTACTGAGCAAACCGATTTTCTTTTTGATATTTGTTGTGACTAAAATAGAAAGGCTTGGAAGGGAAATATTAGTGATAGAGCACGTACAAATGTTACTAGTTTACCAGCATGCTTTGATATGAAGGCGCTCGCAATAAATTTGAGAAATATATTTTTATAAGCTTACATATTGCGAACTGGTTCTTTGAGAAATAAATTATGCCTCATATATGTAAAATTAGAAAAGAGTACAAAGATTCTTAGAGCGCAAAGATATCTAAAATAAAACTACCAAAAATTGGACGATTAGAGCAAATCATTACATTTGGTCCGGGAATCGAAATCGGGACCTCTGCGTGGCGGTTTGGCATGTAACTGTCAGGCTACAGAGGCAGTTATTGTGTTTGAAATGAGTACAGGCGTTACAAATGCAATTTGTTTATTATTGTTTAGGGGCGCCTTCAAATTAGACGCTTAACACAGCCGAGCGTTACGCTTACTTCACTATTTTTTTACTGCAAAAATGGTGCGCGCGTGTCACGACAGCTTCCAGATATTGCACAAAAATTGATAGTGGCGTGGCTGCCGTGTCACAGAAATGTGCAGTGCTTCTATAAGCGTCAAATTTTTTTAACACACACACTCATAGCCCCGCACTAGGGAAACACTGTATCGCGAGTGCCATAGACACACACACAGGTAGATAACCACAAATTACACCCAAATTCACAAGATCAATGAATAAGGGCCATACAAATATTTATCACGGCCCGGGAATCGAATCCGGGACTAGTGGCAGTCCAGCATGGTAACCGTTCGACCACAGAGGCAGCAAAATTTGCAGTCGTTTTATTCGTCTACTGTAACCTACTACCTGTTTTCTATCTATGTACATAAATCAGTCATCAGACTAGTAAGGGAACGTGGGGTATTGGGAGCCTGCAGGTAATGAGAGCGGTGATAAACTAGACTTTCCTTATTCGAAGTAGAGGCGATTGTTGTTGTTGACCATGGAAACACGGTTTAAGTTTATAAACTTTATTGTCCAAAATAGTTAAAATTATGTTATGTTAAAGGTTAAGTAATGTTATGAATGCGCCCGATCTATACGACTTATTGTAATGCATTAAAGTACAGGGCGGTCGGCGGTGCGTGCCGCCAAACGCTTACGTTAAAAATGTTCGATTGCATCGAACATTTCTAATGCTCGTATTTGTGCAAGCGGCACTCCTATGTCTTCGTTAACGCTTGACAAGGTTCGACTCCCGCGGGCGCCCCCGTAGAACCCCGCGTTTAGTCGTATGATATGCTTGTGTGTTTTTCGCTCCGCGCATATAAAATTTTCCAAATTTTATCATCCAAGGTAAGCATTAAATCGCGTAGTAAGTAATGCAGGTAAGCATTGCATTTACGCTAGCTATGTCACCATGTGGATTTTCCATGTACCCTTAACACTTTCTTGTTTATTTTCATTCGTTTTTAACTTATATATTTTATTACTTTTTTTTTTTTCAGGCTGATTATATGTATTGGCTACCATTTGACATACGGGATACTTAACGGCTCCCATTTACCGAACTGTGCGGTAATGAGTGCGCATGACATGTTTTAGTTTTATATTTTAGTTTCATATTGTTTCTGTGATTGTCTAGAACCCAGATGTGAAGCGTACGTTCATAAGTAATAAAAAAAATAATTGCATAAATTATGAGTTTTATTATAAATTTTCCTTAGTAGGCTCCCCCCACGGTTCCCTACTTACAAAGCTCTTTGTACGCAATGGAGGAATTTAATCCGTTAAAGTGTTTTGTTAGTATTTTCTCGTATCATTAACTTAACTGGTAAGTACTATGTATATTTTTAAATATTCGTGGGCACTTTGCGTTGATGTCTACTTCTGCATGTACGAAGTTATATAGGACTTACCTCCCCTCTTATCGTAAATTTGATAGACATTGAACACCTTCTCATAGCATCTCAGCAAGAAGTAATTGAGGACCGGTTCCGTCCGTTTAGCATCCCATTTGTCTTTTACGGTAATGAAAGGTAATTCTGTCACCTTAGTCTTATGTTCTTGGAAGCAATGGTCCATCCATTCGCCAGCCCGGCCCTCCCATTTGCAATCGCCTGAAAGATAATGATCTGTTCAATCGTTTAAATAAATTTTATGACGGTGGGTAAAGTTTTTTGGACATGATGAAAAGGCACATGAGACTTGACTTATTTCTCTAGATGCAGTGGCAGTGCCCCTCAGATCTTTGCGCTTTAAAGGTGCATGACGTGTTCATAAAAAGAACATAGCATTTCGCGCATGAAACAATATACGTAACTAAAAAATGATGGAACTGAGAAAACATGATTAGAAAATAAAAAAACCTGAGTGAATCTTATTGCGAATAATGGGATTATTTTTATTTATACATAATAATAACCCTACCCTGTATCGCGGGTACCATGGACACACACATAGACAACCACAAATTACACCCAAACTCCCTAGAGAAATAAATGTGCAGCATGATAACCATTCGGCCACAGGGCAGTTTAATAATAAATAATTAGTTATCACAAAAATTCAGCAGCTTTTTTAATTTTCAAAGCGTGTTTTCTTAATTTCATTATTTTTGAGTTACCACTGTATATAGTTTCACGTGCGATTTATTTATCAATAATATCGGAATTTATGAGGTTTCGACAAATTAAATCATTATAACTTCTGCGAATATTATTTCAGTTACTTAATATGTGACATGCAATGCAACAACATCACTAAACGTACCTCTCGCTTTTTCAAATTTAAACTTAATTCCTGAAACTTTAATGGCCATTTCCCAAAAATTTACTTTTATATTAAATTTAATTTAATTAGTGATTGTGCCAATTTCAGATTAACTTATTATACAGTATTTGACTTAAATAATATGTGCCGTATTTTGAAACTTAATTTAATATCTACATACATATTTCAACGAACATGTGAGAATATAAAGAGCTAGAGAGCTAGAGCGCAATAAAAATCCTTTCTGCTTCACCCTCGAGAAAAGCCGTCTACATACTAACATGCTACAAGATATAAGCTTGTCTGAAATTATGAACGTAGACGGAACCCCACAGAGTGATTTGTCTTTCTCTAAGATAATGAGGCTCTGACAGAGGCAGCGTTGTTATTATCCATTGACGCCGTAATTGCACCGTGAAATCATCACTTACATGCAACTTTGTGGCTGTCAAAATTTAGACCGTTTATGTTAAAAGCAAGTTGTGAATATAATTTTATGTATTATTTATTGCACAAAAAACTATAAATAAATATAAATTACACAGAAGGTGAGGAAACATGGACTTATCTCTAAAAGACTCTCTACCAGCCATCCCAAGGCAGTGAAAACAAAGGTCATAAGCGGGCAACAGTATACAAGAGAGAAAGAAGGAGAAATATAATAAAATTAATAGATACAAATAAAAATACTGCTACATAAATATTATAAACACACGAAGTGTATAACGTATTATAGGCATAGACAAATAATTATTCATTATTAAATAATTATCAATATGACTTATATGTAAAATAGCCACCTTGCATTTTTATTCTTTAATGGCAGAACACAAAAATATTGTCTGAAAATTGAAATTGTCTGAAATGTCACTGAAGAAAACAGTTTTCCCTGGTTTTATAAATAAAAATTTTCACAAAGGACTTATGGAAATGACGTTTAGTATACCAATTTCAAAATATCTTAAGTTTTCGATCAATCAAACATTGATTAAGCTTAGGCCATTTAGTATTGAAACTGCAAGGTGGTTGGACTTACGTGACCGGCAGTGTATTTTATATTAATCTGTTATATTATATGTCTAAAACGTAAATAAAAAAATGTCATTGCCGAAATGTGAATGCAGGTGTGCGAAACCAGGTTTGGAATTTGAAAAGAAAGACATTTTCGTTTGCTACAATTTAAATTACCTGTTACAAAATATTAATAATAAAAAAAACTTTAACAAGAAAACATTCGAGTTCAAAAAACGAAGCGCAAATGACATCTACAACACGATAAAAATAGAGACAATCCCGATTGTGTTACCAGTATCATAAAATTATTTAAGACCTCAACAGTAGATATTACCGCAGCTCAAATTCAAATTTTTCCCGTACTAATATTATTCATTAAATACGGTTTATTTTACTTGGGTCGAGCAGCAGGGATACTGGTATTATTTCAGAATTAATTTTCTTACAAACGAAATAAAGCCATTTGAAAAATGTATATCGTATAGTATACGTGTACTTTTCAGTTCAATTGATTTACGAAATATCATTGTTGTATGTAAAATAATGAAAAAAAAAATTAAAAAGAAGTTTTTTTTCCATAGTGAAAAATTTTTAGGAATCGTGTTTTCACACCGTATAGATATCCTAAATGTATATCCTAAATTTTACTATATATTTTTTTCAATGTGATAGATCAACACTATCACTGTTATGTGGAATCAACCAAAGCCGTTGAGGTTGTATAGATGTATCTTTAGTTGCGTTGTTCTAAGTTTTATCAGATCACAGTTTGAAAAGACTTCTAAATGGTTATTGTTGTCAAAAATAGGAAACTTCTCTTTGTTTTTACATTTTGGACGTCTAATTACATCGAGTATATAACCAAAATAGAGACGAAATGTCATTTAATTTGTTTTGAAAACTATTATGCCATATTTACTGTGACAACTGCGCTCCGATTGGCTTCGGAGTTCGAAACAATGGACGGGTGTCGTCAATGGGTGTCGTCAACTGCTTCACTTGAAATCGACCACGAAAATTGCAAAATTATATATTTAATAATTATTAATACAAAGATCGAACACTCAGAAAAAACACTCAGAAAAAATTCCTTCGATCCGGTCGGATTCGAACCGACGTCTTCTTGCATACCGTGCCAGACGCTATACCAACTAAGCCACGGAACGAACCAACGGACCTCACGAATTTTTCTATGTGCTTGCGTCGTGTCTTTGTACTTGGTCTTTCAACGACTTTTTAGTAGTAGCGCCATCTATGAGAAATCTTTAACAGATTTATCGCAAGAAGGCGTCGGTTCGAATCCGACCGGATCGAAGGAATTTTTTCTGAGTGTTTTTTCTGAGTGTTCGATCTTTGTATTAATAATTATAACAAACTAGTGGAGTAATTTCACAAAAAAATAAAATAATTGAATATCAATTCAATAAAAATTTAATTTATATATTTAATATTTAATTACCGATGAAATGTGTTTACGTTTGATTTGTAATTAGATGTTTTGGTGTTTTTCCCACACCACCGAATAGAACAGCACGACATTGTTAGAGATATTATCTTTATTACAATAAATTCAGAATATTTTTTGGAATATCGGAGACGTACACACAGGTCTGTAGTTGGCCTGTCTATATTTCAGTACAAACGGGAGTTGATATTTATAAGAGCTGTATCGCTAATGTGTTACCAGAAATATATGGCCCTTATTTCGTCTCTATTTCTGGTTATATACTCGATGTCTAATTATGATTCATACTATAAGTATATATATTTATTTTTCTCAAACATACTCGGAAATGTTTTCATTACTTTCAAAAAACGAACCAGGAAAGTTTGTCATTTATGGATCGTGTGACTTCTTCTCGGCCAAGGCCAGCAAAGTACACGTATGTAAATCCGTTACTGTCAACTTTTCTAAATTTCTAAATCTGCCTACTAGTAATGACCTATCTAAACAGCCAAAAAAAAACTCGTACAGCCAACAACCCAGTGTTCATAGTTGCGATAATTAAAAATACCTACCTGCTTACTTAAAACAAATAAAATGGAGGTAACATTTAAACTAAAGTGTTTTGGTATTCGTTTGTTTTTTCTTCGTTTTAGTATTTCGGTCGCGAAAATGAGTGCTAGCGAGAAGAGCGATAACGAAAATACAGTAACAGATACACATTCAAACACATCGTCAGAAGTTCAGCAGACTACTATTAATGTGCCTGGAAAAACAATAACTTTTTTTTGACAATTGTCCTAACACGTCAAATATTACTTTTAATATTAATTTTTCTAATATACATCTTCCTTTCTTTTAGTTTTTTATTATTTCCTCACATTGTTTGAGAAAAATACTTGAATTGCTTGACTCGTATTAATTAATACAAGGCCTCGCTGGTGCTCATCCTTGTAAGTCATACTCGTCTAGCAATCCCTTACTTCCCGGCCCTTGCAATAATGTACTAATACAAAAATCAATAAGATGATTACAAAGAGAATTCTGATAGAAAGTGCGCTGTCAACCTTTTCTCGAAGGAAGCGATTGACGGGCTAGATTGAATGTAGGAAGGGAGTATGTTCTACAACTACGCTGCACGAGAAGAAAATGAGTTAAAAAGAAATTTGTATTACAACTGGGACTAACAAGCATCTTAGTGATGTAAGGACGTCTTGAATGGATGGGAGGGGTAGCAGTTGGTGGAAGTAGGAAAGGGAGTTAAGGTCTTTTGAAGTAGTATTTATTTATAATTTCGGCGTAATTCAACGGGTGTCTGTCCAGGTTTTTGTTGTCACGCCCCTTAATGTATTTATTTCCTGGAAATTATAACAGTAACAAAGGTGAAAGAGCCCTGTTTTGAGTATGCTTGAACAATTAGAATATCATTATTAAATCATTATTTTGACTTTGACGTATTAGCATTAAGATACCTGCCTGCGCCTGAAATACTTCTTTCCGGCCAAGAAATACATGTAAAGTTCTTAAAGATCTTAAAAAGTAACACGGTCATGTTGAAATGTAATTCTGTATTAGTTATCTTACTATTTAACTCATATAAAAGTTCAAGACTTGGAAATCAAACTATTTTTTCGGACCTAAATCATGTATGTTTATGTTTTCATACAAACCAACGTTTCGGGTTATTTATAGGTGCAATGCTCAAAAAAAGAAATATACACGAGTTATGCGGCGTGACCAGCGACCTCCCCATACCGTGGGTGATGGAACGATATGGCGAGGTCTTTGGTTCGCGTCTAGCAGGATTTAAAGTTTTTTTCTGTATGTTTGATCTTTGTATTAGTAATTATAACAAACTAGTAGAGTAGTTTCACAAAGATAATTGAATATAAATAAATAAATAAATATTAGACAACATCACGTACGTTGCTTTGATCCCAAAGTATTTAAGTGACTAAAGCGTTAAGGAAATCGGAAACAACGCCGGTACCATAAACACCTAGACCCGAGAGAAGAAAATTTCATTTTCTATTTTGATCCGGCCGGGGATCGAACTGGGGACAACACAGATGGCTATACCATGAAAACCGGTAAGTGGCTTTCACTCGCCCACAGAAGTCTTTTTTAAATTTTTTAATAATATCAAGTGACGGGACGATCAAGTCGTGGTGCCTGGTGGTGGTGGTCTTAGCCAGTAGTGCCACTGCACCTGTCGCCCTGGGATATAAGTTGACAAGTTCCATGTGCCTGTAATTTCACCAGCACCCTTAGTAAGAATAAAGAGCAATGCTCACATTACTGCTCGGCGGCAGAAATATTTAACCATGGTAGTAAAACATCGTCATATTCAATATACTTAATATTTGAAAAAATAGTTTCATCTCCTCTAGTAATCGCGAAAGCCTAATAACTCTATAATAATATACATTTCGGAATAGTTACTATTACACACAATAAAAACGGCGGCAACAATAAACTGCACATATTACTTAAAAATCAAGAGGTTTGTGAAATCATCTTACCGTAAACTCGAGCCATAAAGCAGTTGATAATACGGAACTGGCAGTGTGGGGAGTGCTTTTCAAGTATAGGCAGGGTCGCGTGTTTCGGACAGCCCAAATTGGTGCATGGAAATAGGACTTTGTTCGCAAGCGATTCTAAAGTTGTGGGACGGATTGTGGAGTACTCTTTCTGAAATAAAATGTGGACAGCATTATAATATACGTTTATATCACGTAATGTACAAGTAATATAATATATATTACGATGTGTATAATACACACATCACAAGTATCTAGAGATCAAGCACGTTTTTGTCAATTACTAAAAAATCAGGTTTTTTAAATTAATATTTTTAGCACCAATGGTTTATTTGGTCAATTTCATAATTAAAAAAATAAGTTGCTAAATAAATAATTTAAAAAATTTATTATTTATATAACATTATTAAATTTTTATTTAACTTTAATAGGGAAATCAAATACTTAAAAACAAAATCTTGAACGCTAGACAATTTTGACGTGTATTATATTGGCGCGCAAAACCAACAAATTACACCAATAATATGTATAAATAAAAAATACTAATAAAAAAACTATAATAGTCTAATAGAAACCTTTATTGCATACAAAGAAACATAGTCAATGCAAAGATAAGGTTTTTTTATGCGCCTGGAGGTGAGCGATTTGCCTGTCCATAACAGTTACAGTGCCACTCAGAGCTTTAAATCGTAAAGATCTTAGGGGCACGTCTACTTCGCTCGTCACCCTGAGACATAAGTTGAGAAACCCCATATGCCTGTAATTTCACCAGCACTCTTACCCTTCCAAACCTGAATGCTCACATTACTGCTTGGCGGCAGAAATATGTAAGCAAGGTGGCAGAACTTCCCTGAACGAACTCTTTCACAAGGAGCTCTAATGCTACTAAATACTACTAAAAGTACTAAAGTGAAGGTACAATCGGTGGCCTTATCGCTAGGCAGCGATCTCTACTAGACAACCTCACAAGGTGAAAGGCAGTTAATGGTACACAAAGCAGCTGAACGGTGTGTAAATTGAACTGAATATACACTTAACAAACTTCATAAAAATATAAAATGGGGTACACGAAAGAAACCTCCCCCGTAAAACGTTCTATTCATATTCTGGGCAACAATCAGCTAGAACCTTACGTGGAATCCTTTCACACGTGCCAAATTTTTTCACCGCAAGTTTATGCCATCGATACGGTAAGAAGAAGATACAGTATAATATAATAATAATAATCATGTGCTAAATAACCACACTGTGCGCGAGCACATACTTTTTGATACATTGTCTTTATTCCTTTTGAATTTGTATTCTTTTTAACGTTATGTTAATGATATTCAGTTGTTGTCATATAAATCGCTAAAAAATGCGTTCTGAAAAATCCCAAAGAATATTTTAATTATCTCGCCCTTCTCCCTCTTCCCAAAACCACTTAGGCAAGCGTCTCGCCAATACACACCAATTGTCTGGTCTCAAACTAGAGAAAGCCCTGTACTATGGGAGCATTGGATCGCACTCCGGATCACCAGGAACACTCAGACCACAATCAATTTAGAAAAGTTCTATATATAAAAACATCCTATATAACAAACACACATGTTATTATATACAAAATAAATATCTATACATTACATGCATATAATATGGTTGTGATATATTTATAAACTATAATTTGCTATACATTTTACGGATCCGAAATGTGAGTGTCTCTTTCTCACGATTCGGCTAGACCACCAAGTTAAAAACAGCCCAGTGAGGTATGGAACAGGCTATGCTCGGAGTTTCTCTGAAGAACAAGGTACGGAATGAGGTTATCCGATAGCAAACCAAGGTCGTCGACATAGCTAGCAGAATAAGCAAACTGAAGTGACAGTGGGCTGGCCATATCTGTCGAAGAACCGAAAACCAATGGGAGAAGCGAGTTCTTGAGTGGAGACCACGGTTCGGCTAACGTAGTGTAGGACGCCCTCTGGCCGGATGGAGCGACGATTTGCGAAAGGCTGCTGGCAGCAGATAGATGCGGCAAGCTGAAGAACGGGCGAAATGACGCGCATTGTGAGAGGCCTATGTCCAGCAGTGGACAGCGATAAGCTGATGATGACGACATATTTGTCCTTGCTCATAAATCTATTTAAAATTTTGCTACATTTGCGGCAAGGCAATATATATAATAATAGCATTGACCGACATAGACGCAGCGATATAATAGATATATAAATGTCGCTACTATCTAAGTTACGGTAAACATAACAATGACTAGATATAAATTGAAATTGTTCGATAACGTATCTACATGATTTGTTTTTGATTCCCTTATCTGAACGAGAATTCCTGAATTTACGCTCGCAGTTCGAATAATTCAAACTTAGAGTTTATAACAATTTCATTCAATAGATATTTCCACGTAGATTGGGTTTGCATATTATGATTAAAAGAAAACTATATTATTTATAACTATGTGAATGTAATTGTTAATGATAAGAGGAATAAATATAATAAAATACAACAGTTTATTTATTATTATTTCACTCGTTATTTTCTTGTTGATCACTATCAATAAAGTATTTAATTTTTTAAATGGGACAGTATGGGGAATTCGAAACCATAGGAGATGTAATAGTAAGAGAGGAAATTTTTGGTCAACTGTGAGTAGTAATGTTGAAAAGAATAATAATGTTGATTTTTTTTAGTTAGCCGTGACCGTAGGACCTGTAAAGGGCCGTAAACGTTGGTTTGTTTGAAAAAATAATTATACGCGATTTAGAACTGATAAAATAGTTTCATTTCCTATGTGTAACAATGGCGAAAATCTAAAAACTCGTTATTTTTTAAGTGCTGTTCTACTTAGTTTTCTATAAGGATCATTTTATTGTATCGGAAAAAAAATTGGGACAGCAGAAGTAGGTCTAGTTTAACACAATATTTTTTATACCATGAGAAGATGCAATGTATGAAATCGTAGTCGAGGACGAAGTCGAAGAATGTGTACAAATTATTTAAAAAGTGTTCCATTACTGAATTGAATGTTAATCGTTACGTATTAGGCGAAACTGAAATATGAAACGCTTATATTGCACTCAATAGTTTTTGCACAGATTTACGAACTCTGAACACAAAATATCAAATTTAGAACCACATTTGTTTTCCCAAAAAATACTCCTAATGGTTCCTAAGACAGTTTCTCTGTATTACGAGTACTCTATAATACTTTCGAATTAAAAACATACTATATACATAAGCATCTAGAATGGAATCCAGTTTTTTTGTTTCCAAATAGCCATTTTGAAAGATTTGAATATTGAAAAAGTCCTTTCACGGTACATAAATACATCTATTGTTAAAATAAGCGTCTATAGACCTGTCCTAGTTCATATATGAATATATATAGGGAACAATAAACTTAGAAACAGAACAATATTAGTGATTCGCTAGAAAAGTCTTCCCTTGGACATGAACTTAAGGATCGATTTGTTTGTCCTTACACAAACTCTGGACCCGACCGAAGCTGAGATAAGCTGTTCAAGTCGGCATGTACAAACGGTTCGAACGTCACGTGAGATTGTGGTGTTTTCTGTGAACTGTGATCCTTGTGCCATCTTGCTCTGTTTGTCTTCATAGCCGTAGTAGTAAATGCCACGTATAATGGTGCCGTGGGTGAAAGTACAAGTAAAATTTGAATTGTCATCGAAATCTCAGCAAACAATATTGTCATGTCTTACCTTGCACACGTGACATTGATAGCTTTTCTCAAAGCATGGTCCGCAGGTGCTATGCCCGTCCACACAAAGGTGGATAGGTGGCTTCATGTATCGCTTACATTTAGTACATGTCAGCTCCTTGATGAGACTTTCATAGTGATCAGTCTCCAGAAGCGTGTTCAGGACTGCTGGAAAAAGAGAAAAATTGTTACAAAAGTGTCTTTAAACAGCTTGCTAAACAAATGGGAGAAAACGTTGAGCCTTCGCCGTACCACTTCAAAAAATATTATTCGACGTTTTATTGGGTAGAATTCTCATTTTATAGGATGTTAATTCGAAAACTACATAGTTTTATTAATGCTATATATTTCAAATAAATTTTTAGATATTTCAAAATGTAGGTTGCTTGTTTTAAGTTTTGTTTTTGTCATGAAGAATTATTTATCCGTTTCAGTTACGTAAGAATTTCCTCATGTGAGCTAAAAAATTTCGGTTATAACTCCAAATATAAATCCTTTTAAAGTATTTCAACATCTATAAACCAAATGTTCCAAAAGAAAACGCTTGCCGTTCTGTAAGACTGAATTTCATTGAATAATATTCTTTAAGTAACCATTAGGAATGTGTTAATACAGCTTTTTATTCAATACTCCTTTTTAATAGAAAATAAAACTTCAATAAGTATTAAATTCGACTGACGTAAAAAGTTTTATAGCTTCAAGTTTAAGATATATATAATTGCTGTTTTGTGATAGTTTTATAAGAGGTGTCAAAACACGTCATACAACTCCTGCCATAAAATGTAGTGAGTTTTAAAGAAAGGGTAAGGTCTGTTAAAGAAGTTTCGCAACAAAGAACTCTAAAAATATTTTTTTGACAATTACAAGGGTAACAAATATAATTGTCGCTATGTACGGACGAATGTTCACTTTAAAAAAAGTACAAACTTGAACACTTTAGAAGCGGCAAAAATTAAGTTGTTGAACTCCACAGTTTGTTCTACACATTTACAATGCCAGTCAATCACCACTCTATGCAAACCAATTAATGTCTGTACTACATTGTCCATAATAGTTCCGGGTGTTTAGCTTACTTTGTACACAGACAAACATTTAGTTTCCATGTACAAACAGCAATACTAATATCATGGCATTTCACAAGGGAACAGGCGAGGGATGTATCGATCCATTGCAGTTGTTGAACAGGCCTTGCTATGCGGAATTTCGTTAGTCACTTATACAAGCATAAATATTGCCTTGGGTAAAAGATACGAAGAAGAATGTACTCAATTATGAAACGTACGCATTTAAAGACAAATATAATTTGGAACGTGCAGATGACAGTCCTTGAAAACAGCTGTTGCATTCGCTCTGCGACGTTCAAAATGATTAAAAATAATAATATTGTATTTAATAAAATAAATCAATGTTTATTTTAATTATAACTAAGGATATGTAAAGTCTTGTTGTCATGAAAGATGAAAAAAACAATTCAAAAATATGCATTGAAAGCTTCAAGTATTTATGCATTCAAAAGGTTAGTACGAGAGTGCACTTTACGAAACTGTAGGTTCACAATTTTACCGACACATTTTTTTCAACATGGACACAGTTATAAACTAAAGACAGCAGCCATAATTAGCACACAAACACACTTCACTAAACTAATAATAAACTAACTTTTCTTGCCGGTCGGCGTAGACGTCGACGACATGCCGAAAATAAACTCTCACGTAACTAAACCACGTCAAATACGGTCGTACACCTAGTAAACACTCCGCAAATCGTACAGTTATAAGGTAACCGATTAGAGTGTAATCGTCGAGCCATTTTCAGTGATAAGCTAGTACGAGTAGTATCTCGAACGTGATTGTGGTAAGCGCGACTAATGGCGACACTGGCACCGGCTATATTTACACAACAAGGTCGGCCGCTAAGGGCGTCTACGATTCGTCTGACCACTTGCGTAGACCAACATCTATGAATAGTAAAATCTATTTTAATTATACTTGGCAAATTTAGGCCGTATTTTCAAACCTCAAAACCGTTTTGATAACCTGAATCTAAGTTAAACAACAAGTCACAGTATTAAAAATATATAAAATATAATAAAAAGACATTTATTTCTCCACAAAACACAAGAAACACAATACTTAAAAACTAATAAAAAAAACAATTGTTCTGTTCGCTTGCTGCACCAAGCTAATATATGTGGAATGTACACCAAGTAATAACTTACCTTAAGTAATAAGTTAAAATTTAATGGCTATCCGTGTAAATTTAATACTCTCATGTGTTGCGTAGTAATCTTAACATTAAAAAAAAAGCATTTTATAGCAAAATTTTAAAAATAATTTTTTTAAATTATTAATACAAAGATCGAAAAATTTCTTCGATCCGGGCGGATTCGAACTGACGTCTTCTAGGAAACCGTTACCAGACGCTATGCCAACTAAGCCGTGGAACGAACCAGCGGAGCTCACGAATTCTTCTAAGTGCTTGTTGTTGAATCTTTGCATTTGGTTTTCAACGACTTTTTAGTCGTAGCGCCATCTGTGAGAAATCTATAAATAAATAAATAAATAAATAATAAATAACGCACACACTCAACATAGCCCCGCACTAGGGAAACCCTGTGTCGCGGGTGCCATGGACACACACATAGACAACCACAAATTACACCCAAACTCATGAGAGAAATAATTGTAGGCCATACAACTATTTCTCCCGGCTCGGGAATCGAACCTGGGACGTCTGCGTGGCAGTCCGGCATGGTAACCGTTCGGCCACGGAAGCAGTTTTTGAAAGTATTTCGGTTGAATCGAAGGATTTTTTGTAAGTGTTCGATCTTTGTATTAATAATTACAACAAACTAGTGGAGTAATTTCACAAAAAAATATAATTAACCAATAATTTTATAATTTTCTAAATTTCTATAAATATGTTACACAATATAATGGCTTGTGTGCGGTAGCTACATGATATAGGGAGTTAAATCTCTGCAACGGACAGGTGTGTCGCTTACCACCAGACGCATGACTTGCTCATCCCTTCACTAGATGTCATAACAAAAAAATTATGTGTAGCATTTGTTTGTTACGTTTCTAGGACATAACATCCTTTTGGAAATATGATTAATCGTTTTGCCAATCATTGGTGATATAGGTAATTGATTGGGTGGGTATTAGGAATTGATATCATATTGTTAGTAATGGCATTGTAGATGCAAAGACAAAGAAAAAAAATTAAAAAGAGGAGTTGTTGTACTTATTTATTTACCTTTACGTCGAATACTTAATTTCTCGGAGTTGAATAAAAGTTCTTCAACTTCAAACAAGTTTTTCTATTATTACCAAAAAAAAAACTTTTTTGTCCTCGTGGATGGGAAACTAATTCCAAATAAATGAGTTCGACACATTCATTTCCTTGGTGTACGCAAATTCAGCTTTTGAAAGCACGTTATATCGCTTCGAAAGGAAGCCTTTTAACAATTATAATACGACCTCTGGCAAGCACGTTGAATGCAAAATACTGAAATCTCCAATTCGATTCTGGTAACCGAAACTATAATCACTACCCAGAATATCCGACTCGGGTTTTCTGGGTAGTAACTACGTAGTTAATTTCAGTACTCTCGTACCCATAACTTAAAGAATCTATTATTTATGTGCTAAGTAGTTAGTTTGAACGTCTGACGCTATAATTTATTATCGTACATGAAACCAAACTCAAAATTACGGAATTGAGAAAATACAATATTAAAATTTAAGTAAATTAAAGTACTGAATGGCTCTTATAGTGAATAATGTGAATATTTTTATTTATACATAAATAATACTTGTGAAATTATAGGCATATGGGATTTATCAACTTACGTCAGGCTGATGACGGGCGCAGTGGAAGTGCCCCTCAGATCTTTGCGATTTAAAGCTCTGGGTTGCACTGCAACTGTTATGGACAGGCGTGTCGCTAAACCAGGCCCACGACTAGTTCGTCCAGTCACTTAGTATCATAAAAATATATTTAATTATATATTTATAAATGAGAATGTAATATTGGTATCATTCAGTATTTTTGTTTTCAAATCGTGCTCTCGCAATTCCACAATTTTGAGTTAGGACAGTATTTAGTTTTGTTTGGGATATATTTATTCTATTATCTTATTATACTCTGCGGTAAAGTAGGCATCGTTCATTATGTAACTTTTTATCACAAGGTACTCCAAAATTGCGCATTGAATTTACGTAAATCGTTTTTGCTTATCAGTGAAAATTGATAATTTTATCGATTGATGCACTGATAATTATAATCACAACCCTGTGTGCTTAATCATTATTGTAATCAGCAGGTAACAGTGTACTATTCTATTAAATATGTCAAAATTACTGCTTCAAATGTGTACATGGAAATACATAGAATGGTTTTTTCGAGCTTAGACATCTCCATAGGCAGAATTTATATAGCTGCTTGTCAAGAATAATGACCCAATCCAAAATCATTCATTTTTTGACTTATTAGTATTACTGGCATTTGTTCACAAAATGCTGAATTTTACTGCGAATGGGATACCGAGCTTTTCATATAATCAATCACACGACAACGTTGAGATGGTTTATGATATGTCAGTTTTGCGTAGCAGAAACGTCTCAGGTTTTTTAAACCATCTTTCTGGTTTTTGAAACCATCGACATGTATTTTCTGGGTAACCTCGAGCTAAGCCAAACTGCACATCAAAGTATTGCTCTCATATGTCGCGTAGTGATCTTAAGATTTAGAATAAAGCGTTACATAACAAAATTTTAATAAGAAAATTGTGATAAATTTCAAGAAATATGTAACACTTCATAACGGCTTCCATGCGGTAGCTATATAGGACAGTATTAAGATACAGTAATTTTTTTTAAATACTCCTTGAACCTACTAAAACATATTTTTATGATACGTGCATTTTTATTGTGTTCCGTAAAGACAGCAGTAAAGCTCCTTGTGAAAGAGTTCGTCCAGGGAAGTACTGCCATTTTACCTATTTCTGCCGCCAAGCAGTAATGTTAGCATTACTGCGTTCCGGTTTAGGAGGGTAAGGGTGCTGGTGAAATTACAGGCACATGAGACTTGTCAACTTATGTCTCAGGGTGACGGGCGTAGTGAAAGTGCCCCTCAGATCTTCGTAATTTAAAGCTCTGAGTGGCACTGCAACTGTTATGGACAGACGTGTAGCTTACCATCAGGCACACGACTTGTTCGTCCCGTCACTTGATATTATAAAAAAAAGCAAAAAAAACCCGTATCTAGCAGTGGAACTTTGAAATGGTTTGATGATGATGATGAATCTCAAAATCAATATATATATATAATATATATAGATATAATATAATATATAATATAATATATAATATTTATAATGTAAATGCCCTTATTCATAAATTACGAAAATCTAATAATATTCTCAATGTTGCATAACACAGTCTGTGACGTTCAGTGTTCTAAACGGTTTAAGAATAGAAACATTTGTTTCTATATTGTACTCAATAGTTACAGTGCAGCTAGCAATAAGGTGTCATTTTTCTTTTTTTAATTAACCCATAAGATAAGATTCACTATTTCATTCTTCGGGCGTTATCGTTAACAATCTTTGTTCAGCTGACTTTGATTTCCTGATACGACACGATAGTAACTTTGTTAATTTGACGTATCTGACTCAATGTTCTTATTTTTCCAGGGTCTGGTGGTCCGTCATACAGGGAATCCTAGTACGAACACCAGACTCTCGCAAAGGCTCCTAAATGTGTTTTTTATTTATAATATATTATATTATAATATATATATTTGCCATTGCCTTTGCGTGAGTGAATATAGTTATTACTATTATATTATTATTGTTGTACTAGATGGAAAATAGATAGCAAAATATGTATTGTCTATTCTACTCACCCGGTTATTTGTAACTCAGTTTACATCACGGTTCGACAAGCAAATTTACGCTAGTGAATGTGTCGCTTTTGCAAATGTACTCGACACTACAGAGAATATTTAAGAGGGAATATCGATTTTTTACGTTAATAAAATAATTATGTGAATATTGATGGTGACCGGAATTAATAACTTATATTTAGAATATGTGACTGATACAAAAATTTTTGCGTGAATTTAACCAAAATCAAAGTCGAATAATATTTTACCTTACTAGCTCGGAAAGACTTTCTTTCTCATTAGAAATCTGCGCGCAAAAGCGTTTTTTCCACGCTAGCTAGTGGAAAAAGTTTTTAAAATTCGAACTTGACGATGGACTGTGGTGCACCTAACTTTTTCTTTCGATGAAAAAAAAGCATGGTAATATAAATCCGTTGGTATATTTTATTCTTATTATTGTTGACATTCAATTGATACCGATAACTAAACTAAATATTAAATTGTTTTTGATGTATGAATGAATAAAACTGATTTGTTATAGTTAAACTGTTTTTCTTTCATCTATAATTTTCCTCGTTACTTCACGGTAAAAAGTTGTGTGTTTCGCTCGGCAGTAAAGTTGTTTTGCGTCTCGTGCCGTGAAACCCTCGCTACGCTTAGGATTCTAATTTGGGTGTTACGCTCCCTCGCTTGCTCAGGTTTCAATACAAGCACTCGCGTCAAATAGCAACTTTGCAGTCTTGCATAACAAATAACTATTATTTCACAGGTAAGCTAATTACATTTCAAATCGTCATATTGATTAAATTTACTCTACTAATTCTGCTCATTCGTAAGGCAGATTCCCCTGCGAAGAATGAGCAAGAATCTGTATAATATTCAAGTAAACTATCGTGAAATATTAAGTAAGTATTCGAGTAATTATCGTGAAATATTAAATAATATTTCAGGTTACTGCACTCGAATCTCAGATTTCATGGTAGTGCTC